TACAGAGTGCATTAAAATTGCTGAAGGCGTGTTTGGGTGCCGCTGCTTGGAAGTGTGTGCTGTAGAAGATGGGTTGGAAGACTGCAGGGGCAACTAAAGTACGTATTTCGGTGCCTTGTGTGGCAGTGCACAATAGAAAGTTGTTTTCACATATCTATATATTAAAACATTGTAACCATGATATATATATACACCTCCAAAGGATACCTGATCAACCAGGCTGTGACTCATACGTCAGGCTGCGAGCAGCCGCGTCCAACAGCCTGGTAGATCAGTCCGGCAACCAGGAGGCCTGGTCGACGACCGGGCCGCGGGGACACTAAGCCCCGGAAGCACCTCAAGGTAACCTCAAGGTAACATATACTTCAGCCTACAGTTTAGACCTATTGTCTTATGTATGACCCTCTGTCCTGCGTGACAGTGAATACCAGCATTATCCTCACTATAATAAGACTTACTCGAAATCCTCAGATTAGGCAAAATTTTAATTAATTTTGTCAATAAACATGTTATAATAATAATTTCGGTGGCGGAAGCTGAGAGGTGATGCAACACGGCTTCAATTTGGACGCCAAATGCATGCAGCAAATAAGACTTTTTTACTCGTCGACTTCACAAATATCCACACTACATCGTCACTACAATGGCGGCTTTGGGGTCCCTCCAGGACTTAAATTTCATGAGATTTCAGGTCCTTCCATGTCGCCTGAGATCTGCGTGGTTCTTTCCCCTAGAGATCAAATTATATATATATATATATATATATATATATATATTATATATATATATATAATAATATATATATAATGACAATGTCAGACCACGGAGGAAAAATGAAACAGGAAACAGGAATACTTAAAGTATTCCTGTTTCCTGTTTCGAAAGTACTTAAGGAAATTTCCTGTTTCATTTTTCCTCCGTGGTCTGACATTGTCATATATAATATATATATATATATATATATATATATATATATATATGTCGTACCTAGTAGCCAGAACGCACTTCTCGGCCTACTATGCAAAGCCCGTTTTGCCTAATAAGCGAAGTTTTCCTGAATTATTATATTTTCTCTAATTTTTTCTTATGAAATGATAAAGCTACCCATTTCATTATGTATGAGGTCATTTTTTTTTATTGGAGTTAAAATTAACGTAGATATATGACCGAACCTAACCAACCCTACCTAACCTAACCTATCTTTATATGTTAGGTTCGGTTAGGTAGCCGAAAAAGTTAGGTTAGGTTAGGTTAGGTAGGTTAGGTAGTCGAAAAACAATTAATTCACGAAAACTTGGCTTATTAGGCAAATCGGGCCTTGCATAGTAGGCTGAGAAGTGCGTTCTGGCTACTAGGTACGACATATATATATATCCGTAAATTAGAATGTTTGTGTCTTTGCACCCTGATTTCTGTTGGGTACGTGCCAGCATGGTCGGGTCGGGATTGTCCTAAGTGAAGCAAGTGCCAGTTGAAACCCCCATGAGGATTTATAGAATTTCATTATAACTACTTAGGATTATTATTTTTTCTTCCTGTATTTTTTTGTGTAATATAAACATTATTCACTCATGTACACAAAATTACAACAAATTTGCCATAGTTAACTAAAATACACAAGTGGTCATGATGGCAATATAAATCACATTATCCTGTTACCTTTTTTATCTGTTAATGTATATTAGTGTGTTTATGTATATTTTAACCTGTTAACCCTATATTGATCTGTCAGTTGCACGTTAACTTTCTAAACACTCATTAGCATCTTTAACAACACGTAAACTCCTTTTTTTTCCAAGCTTGGCAATAACACCTTAACTGCAGGTTGACGTGTTATCCAGACATTAACCGCATCTCCCGTGAACTAGGAGGTTTCTCGTCCCTGGCTGGGTGCAGGGTCTCGGAGACTGGGAGACTGGTCCAACGACCAGTCCAAATGATACATCACTGGCAGTCTGGCCTGTCATTAGGCTAGCCACAACCTACTCTTCCCTGACACATTACATGGGAATTGCAACCCAACCTCGTCCGACTGGTGGGGAAGAGAGGTGGTGGTTGTGGTAGTGGTGGTACTGGTGGTACTGGTGGTGGTGGTAGTAGCGGTTGCTGCGGTTGTGGTGGTGGTGGTGGTTGTTAGATGTAGTGGTGGTTGTGGCAGTTTTTGGTGGTTGTGATGGTGATAGCAAGATCCTCCACAGCAAGCTCCTCCACCTTGTAGTAGACGGTAGCACTCTGGCACCACTGGTGGTTCAGAGACCCCACTGGTGGTTCAGAGACCCCACTAGGGGTTCAGTGACCCCACTGGGGGTTCAGAGACCCCACTGGGGGTTCAGAGACCCCACTGGGGGTTCAGAGACCCCACTGGGGGTTCAGAGACCCCACTAGGGGTTCAGAGACCCCACTGGGGGTTCAGAGACCCCACTAGGGGTTCAGAGACCCGCTGGTGGTTCAGAGACCCACTGGGGAGAAGGCACCGGCTCATACTCTTGGATCGAGCGATACTTGCTGGTAATGGAAGTCGTCAGCTGGCACTCAGACCGAAACAGCCAGCTTGGTCTGAGTGCCACAACCGTGATTGTGTGAAACGGACTGCCGGAGTGTCTCCCCTTTGACAGAAACATCTTAACGTTGACAGAAATGGCTCTAATTTTGAGAGAAACCCCTTACATTGAGAGAAACCCCCTAACTTTGAGAGAAGCCCCCTAACTTTGAGAGAAGCCCCCTAACTTTGAGAGAAGCCCCCTAACTTTGAGAGAAGCCCCCTAACTTTGAGAGAAGCCCCCTAACTTTGAGAGAAGCCCCCTAACTTTGAGAGAAGCCCCCTAACTTTGAGAGAAGCCCCCTAACTTTGAGAGAAACATCCTAACTTTGAAAATCACAAATACAATCAGAAAGGCTTCGATAATAATTCCACCTATCCAGTGACAGTGTATATAATCAGGGAAATAATGGCAGATAATAGAGAGACAGACAGACAGACAGACAGACAGACAGACAGACAGGGAGTTCTTGTCAAGAAAAACCAGGCAAATCAATTAATGCCACAAACAATAGACAGGAAAAATACTAACAACAGAACAGAAAAAAACATGGGAAAAATAACTGACTCATCAAGGGAGGCTTGGCCGGCAGGGAAGGCTTGGCCGGCAGGGAAGGCTTGGCCGGCAGGGAAGGCTTGGCCGGCAGGGAAGGCCTGGCCGACAGGGGGAGGCTTGGCCGAAAAGGGAAGTTGGAGTATCATTGAATTAGAGACGTTGAGAGGGAGGAAGGGTAAGGGGGGAGAGAGAGAGAGAGAGAGAGAGAGAGGAGAGAGAGAGAGAGAGAGAGAGGAGGAGAGAGAGAGAGAGAGAGAGAGGGGGGGGGGGGGGGGGGTTAAAGTTGCAGGGACTCATGGGGGGGGCAGGGAACAGGAAGTACAGGACAGTGTTACATAGTGACCGGCATGTTAAAACCGCCCCCATGACCGTTCACCCCCATGGTCTATACCTACACAAGGTTGGTAGACCGCATGTATGACGTTCATGGGGGCTGACAGGGAGGTGAGAGAACGTTCATGGGGGCTGACAGGGAGGTGAGAGAGAGAACGTTCATGAGGGCTGACAGGGAGGTGGGAGAGAACGTTCATGGGGGCTGACAGGGAGGTGGGAGAGAACGTTCATGGGGGCTGACAGGGAGGTGAGAGAGAACGTTCATGAGGGCTGACAGGGAGGTGAGAGAGAGAACGTTCATGGGGGCTGACAGGGAGGTGGGAGAGAACGTTCATGGGGGCTGACAGGGAGGTGGGAGAGAACGTTCATGGGGGCTGACAGGGAGGTGAGAGAGAACGTTCATGGGGGCTGACAGAGAGGTGAGAGAGAGAACGTTCATGGGGGCTGACAGGGAGGTGGGAGAGAGAACGTTCATGGGGGCTGACAGGGAGGTGAGAGAGAACGTTCATGGGGGCTGACAGGGAGGTGAGAGAGAGAACGTTCATGGGGGCTGACAGGGAGGTGGGAGAGAACGTTCATGAGGGCTGACAGGGAGGTGAGAGAGAACGTTCATGAGGGCTGACAGGGAGGTGAGAGAGAACGTTCATGAGGGCTGACAGGGAGGTGAGAGAGAACGTTCATGGGGGCTGACAGGGAGGTGTGAGAGAGACAACGTTCATGGGGGCTGACAGGGAGGTGTGAGAGAACGTTCATGGGGACTGACAGGGAGGTGGGACAGGGAGATCAACATGATAAAAACCAGAGATAAGTGAGAGGGGATAAAAGACAGATTAAAACGCACACGCTGATAAGGAACAGCCTGGCAACATATTTCTGTTGCATGTTCCCCTCTGGCTCATCTCAACCTGTCTCTCTGCATGCTTCTCTTGCTCAAATTTTTTCCCCCTCGTTTTAATTTTGGACTGGGCCGCTTGCTTGCCTGTGACATGTGGCCTGCTCTCGTGTGATGGACAATTTCCACTCTCTTCTCTAACCACCGCATCGTTCTTATATAATTACCCGTGCAACACTGCTCTTCTATGAGCCAATGCCTCATTTGAATTGCTCCCTTCAGCCTCAAGTCTGCCTCTCTTGCCATGCATGGCGTATGTACAGCGTTTCCGTCCGTCGGGTCCTGGCACGGCTTCAAAAGTGACGCCATGCGGTATGACATCGTGGATCAAGCTCCGCTGACTGACGTAGGTTATATGCGGTTGAAGGACAACAATTCGGATCTAGCTCCGCTGCCTGGCGTAAGTGAGTTGTACGATATCTTGGCTCGGGCCTCTTCTGCCTGACGTAACAGCTGCAGTACAGCATTATTTTGGTTCAGGGTCTGCTGCCTGACGTCAGTAATGGTGCCAGTACGACATCTTCGGTTCAAGGGTTCGCCGCCTCGGGTTGCAGTACGACAATATGAACCGCCGAACGCGTCCAGCTGCCAGGCATTCCGTATATGACACCTGCAGGAGCAGCATCTTATCTTACCTATACCCAGCTCCCAGTCGCGCATGCCCGCATGACAACACGAATTTACGAATATGCCGCGATGCCTGGCGTCCACGGCCGGATGCCTGACGTCCACGGCCGGATGCCTGGCGTCCACGGCCGGATGCCTGACGTCCACGGCCGGATGCCTGGCGTCCACGGCCGGATGCCTGACGTCCACGGCCGGATGCCTGGCGTCCACGGCCGGATGCCTGGCGTCCACGGCCGGATGCCTGACGTCCACGGCCGGATGCCTGGCGTCCACGGCCGGATGCCTGGCGTCCACGGCCGGATGCCTGACGTCCACGGCCGGATGCCTGGCGTCCACGGCCGGATGCCTGGCGTCCACGGCCGGATGCCTGACGTCCACGACCGGATGCCTGACGTCCACGACCGGATGCCTGACGTCCACGGCCGGATGCCTGGCGTCCACGGCCGGATGCCTGGCGTCCACGGGCGGATGCCTGGCGTCCACGGGCGGATGCCTGACGTCCACGATTCGACGAAACTTATTAACAGAACTCTGTTGTCTACCTTGTGCAGACTCCGGGGATCAGTATCCTCGTGGCTCGGTCTCTGATCAGTTCTCTTGGTTGGTGGTAGTCTGGTCAACCAGGCTGTTAGGCGTCGCTGCTCGCAGTCCGACATACGAAGCCTGGTTGACCAGGTATCCCCCAATTGGGTAGGATTCCCCCTCACAGGAGTGTTTCCGGGCAGTGATGTGCATCAAATGACCTTTTTTTTTCTTATAGGTGAGTTCCCCAGGAAATAATAAATGGGCAAGATGAAAGGCAAGATAGGGAGAGAAATATATATATATATATATATATATATATATATATATATATATATATATATATCTATATATATATATATATATATATATATATAGCATTTTTGTCTTTGTACTCTTGTGTTAAGGGCAAGGATTTGGTACCTAAATTTGTCTCTGGGTCAATTAGGGTCAATGTTTGGGTAAGGTTAGGCTCCATGGTAATACAGGTAGGTAAGGTTAGGCTCCATGGTAATACAGGTAGGTAAGGTTAGGCTCCATGGTAATACAGGTAGGTAAGGTTAGGCTCCATGGTAATACAGGTAGGTAAGGTTAGGCTCCATGGTAATACAGGTAGGTAAGGTTAGGCTCCATGGTAATACAGGTAGGTAAGGTTAGGCTCCATGGTAATACAGGTAGGTAAGGTTAGGCTCCATGGTAATACAGGTAGGTAAGGTTAGGCTCCATGGTAATACAGTGCAGTGTGTATAACAACATACACTTGAAAAAGGGCTGTAGAATTTTGACTATACATAAACACCCTCAATTATCCCCCTCCACATACGACTTTCTGCGCACTCACACGTATGCACGCACGCGCACGAATGCACGTACACACGCACTCACGCAGCTGAGAAAGAACTTAAGCGCTCGCGTCACACAACTCACGGATATCTAACACATTGATGTTCTCAGCTCTTACCAAACACTCATGAGTGGGGAACCCGCACTTGATCCGTGACAACGGCGTCAACATTTATCATCAACATCATCATCATTACCAACACCTGCTGCACCAGAGGCTGCAGCAGCAGTAGTAGCAGCAGTAGTAGTAGTAGTAGTAGCAGCAGCAGCAGCAGCAGCAGTAGTAGTAGCAGCAGCAGCAGCAGCAGCAGCAGCAGTAGCAGCAGCAGCAGTAGCAGCAGCAGTAGCAGCAGCAGCAGCAGCACTTAACAGTAACATCCGTAGCGCCACTCTCAATTGAACAGGCATATATAAATATTGAAGCTGCTGGAAGTTGGATGTATCTGGCGATGAATCTCTAAGACTCCCAGGGGAGCGGTGGTCCTCCTAGGGGTAGCTCTCCTCCTCCCAGGGGTAGCTCTCATCCTCCCAGGGACAGCTCTCCTCCTCCCAGGTGCAGCGCTCCTCCTCCCAGGGGTAGCTCTCATCCTCCCAGGGGCAGCGCTCCTCCTAGGGGTAGCTCTCATCCTCCCAGGGGCAGAACACCTCCCAGCAATTATCGCCACGTATCCCGGCCGCCGGGAACTCCACCTGCACCCTCGATAAAAAGGTGTGGAGAGGGGCCGGCCATTGTTGTGTCGGGGGGGAGGGGGGAAGATTTGCCGCGATTGCATGGTTCTGGCGGGCAGCGTCGCGGACTGCCTCTTGCGTGGAGCTGCTGACGACGCTTGTGTTGTGTGGGGTGTGTGTGTGTGTGTGTGTGTGGGGGGGGGGGGGGGGTGTGTGTGTGTGGGGGTGTGTGTGTGTGTGTGTGTGGGGGTGTGTGTGTGTGTGTGTGTGTGTGTGTGTGTGTGTGTGTGTGTGTGTGTGTTGTGTGTGTGTGTGTGTGTGTGTGTGTGTGTGTGTGTGGTGTGTGTGTGTGTGTGTGTGTGTGTGTGTGTGTGTGTGTTCTGTGTGTGGGGGTGTGTGTGTGTTCTGTGTGTGTGTGTGTGGGTGTGTGTGTGTGTGTGTGTGTGTGTGTGTGTGTGTGTGTGTGTGTGTGTGTGTGTTCTGTGTGTGGGGGTGTGTGTGTGTGGGTGTGTGTGTGTGTGTGTGTGTGTGTGTGTGTGTGTGTGTGTGTGTGTGTGTGTGTGTTCTGTGTGGTGTGTGTGTGTGTGTGTGTGTGTGTGTGTGTCTGTGTTGTGTTTGTGTGTGGTGTGTTGTGTGTGTGTGTGTGTGTGTGTGTGTGTGGTGTGTGTGTGTGTGTGTGTGTGGTGTGTGTGTGTGTTGTGTGTGTGTGTGTGTGTGTGTGTGTGTGTGTGTGTGTGTGTGTGTGTGTGTGCACGCGTGAATTGTATATTTTCAGTTGTACGAATGTTTGGTAGAATGTACTTAAAGGAGCACCTCGTGTCTTCGTACACTTAAGACTACTACATCACTAGCAGTGTACAAAAAAAAAAGTACAGTGACCATCCCACCAAAACGAAGACAAACATGAGTGTTACGAAGCGCGTGACGTCGTCCAGGCTCGCTTGGTTGTGATCCGCCAGGCTGTGTTGGCGGGGTCAGTGTTGACGTTGTGTTTGGTTGTGTGAGGTAGAGCGGCCGTATAATTATAGGTCCTAAACTAGCCGTAGGACACAACGTTCGCCAGGTTCCTGATGCTCGTTGTGTAGGCGGTTTTGTGGTTGTATTGTTAACTATGATGGTGATTATGGAGAGGGGGGGGGAGGGGGGGTGTTGGAGAGACGAGGAGGCGGGACTGGGATTGGATAGGAGAAGACTGGGATTGGATAGTAGAGGAGTGATGGGTATTGGAAGGGTAGAGACAGAGAAGATATAAAAGATTAGGGACAGCCAACTTAACTTAATTAAGACCCGTCGCATAGAAACTTATCAACATGTGACTAATACCAAATTAGTCAAGCTTTTATCATGGTCTTTGCGCCTGAAAGGCTTTGCCAATTTGTTTAAAGCTTAAACTATTGAAAACTATTGCTTTACCAGAACATTTGTTAGCGGTGATTCAAGTTTGACAAAAATTAAACCAAATGGCAAAATCCTCCCCATAGTTCCCTTCCCAAACAGCAAAACTTCATTAAATATTATATATAATTTCTACAAAAAGTGCACACTCGCTTATCATACATTGACTACAGCTCATGTCTTGTCAAGCGACGCAGCTCCAGTCAACCAATAAGAATTGAGGACCAGATTATATCCCTTCTTCTCATTACAGACACTGTATTCATCACAGAGGGAATGCAGGGGAGTTACGGGCTATTCATGCCCGTGCCACCTCTTGGGTGGCTTAATCTTAATCAATCTGCGGGGGAGGGCGGGCGAGGATGAATAAAAAGAATATTCAGTTTAAAGAATATTAATTTTAATTCTAATTTTGCCCCGTGGCGCGAGTTTATTGGGGAGCGCGGTTTATAGGGAGCCGGTCGGCCGAGCGGACAGCACGCTGGACTTGTGATCCTGTGGTCCTGGGTTCGATCCCAGGCGCCGGCGAGAAACAATGGGCAGAGTTCCTTTCACCCTATGCCCCTGTTACCTAGCAGTAAAATAGGTACCTGGGTGTTAGTCAGCTGTCACGGGCTGCTTCCTGGGGGTGGAGGCCTGGTCGAGGACCGGGCCGCGGGGACACTAAAAAGCCCCGAAATCATCTCAAGATAGCGCCACTCATCGTCAGCGTGCACACACCGCCATAACAGCATGTTCAACACCTCCCAATAGGAAAAAAACCCGCTGGGTTGTCCCGCTTGCTTAACTGTCTCAAGTGAACAGCTTCTCAAACTAAGAATATTAACATTTGTCAACCCTTAAGATCTTACGTTATCTTGCGCAAAATGGGGGAATCTTTTAAGAACAGTAAATATATATTTAACAAATAGTATTTTCCTAACTCAAACAATGTGGGGTTTATTATTCTACACATTTTCCAATGACTCTTAGATGTTCACATTCTCTCAGGTAGTGCTCAAGGCGGTGTTAATATTATTTGTTCTTGAGGTATGCTAATATAGGATACCGGGCATACCTTGTTCAATCGCCTGCGCAACCCGTCCTCGACTCAAGTCCATTCCATCCAGCGGTTGACCCAACACACGCATTCATAAATTTTAACATGCTGTTCATTCAAAACGGGAAAAATCTCAAGTATAAATTAATGTTATAATATATTAGCATATTGTGTATATATAGGCATAGGATAGGTTAGGTTAGATGTTTAGGTTCTGTTGGCGATTATTTGTATTTGTAGTACGTGGGTGAAGCATTTACAGCGTTGTGATTCGAACAAAATTCGTCAGTGAAGCACTTGTTCCGGAACTATTCGAACGTCATCAGTTGTGAGTCGTGTGTAAACCGCTTTTCATTTATAAACAGCGGGTTTGGCGGATGCATGGAATCACTTTTAGGTCTTTATTTGGAGGACGGGCTGCAGGTACCACACCACACACCACACCTGTATCACCACCAAAACTGGACGAACCACTACCAAAACAGCACACCCTTGGTCAGGGTGGAGTGGGGGGGGGGTGAGAATTACCAAACTTCACCAGAAGGGACACGCAATATGGGAAAGCATTCAAATTTGCAAACATACAAGGCCTAAAGTCAAAATCAAGAAATAAAGTAAAGTTCATAAATGACCTTCTAATAGAATCAAACTCAATATTTGGTTCATTTTCATGGACCCACGCGAAAGACTACATGGATAGTGAAATCTGGATCCCAAATTATAATCTATATAGATGTGACAGAGTAATTAGGTCAAGTGGAGGAGTAGGTCTGTATATTAACGAGGAACTGGCATGCACAGAGCTCCTGAACTTACCAATGAAGTAGTAGAGATACTTG